CCTTCCAATGGTACCCCCATTGCCACTGTAACTCAGTCCATCCACCTGGCTGCTGGGTGTCCTCTTCTTCTCTTTCCTTCCACCTTTCCCAAGTTTAGAGCCTTTTCCAGAGAGATGGGTCTTTGCATAATGTGTTCAAAGTAGGATCATTTGAGCCTGGTCATTTGTTCTCAAGTGAGAACTCTGGGTTGATTTATTCAATGATCCATTTGTTTTCTTGGCTGTCCACAGTATTCTCAGGAGTCTTCTCCAACACCAAAGTTCAAAAGCATCAATACTCTTTCTATCCTGCTTCTTCAGCATTTATGCAAAATACATTTAATTTAACATGAACAGCTTCCTGTCTGCTGTTTTTAAAGGATGAAAAATAATATTCTGTGTTCTCAATAGTTGCACTATTGTGTCATCAAATGAGTGTTAGTGGTGGAGGAGATAAGGCTACTAGAAAAATTTCTTAATGTATAATAGCTGGACAAATTTCCACTCTGACAGTCTGATCAGCAGATTAATTATCCTTGATCCCAATATGCTTAGGAATCCTACGGCAAATAATTTGAATTTTGTTCATGGAAAAGAAAATAATCTCTGAGAGAAGCTAATAGAAATGAATGAGGATAAGCTGAAGCTAAAAGAATCCATGTTCTCTGAGAATTATAGCATTTTACACTACAAACATTTACCAGTTTAACTATATGAACAGCCCATATAATAATGGGAATTGTAATTTGGGGAGGAGCTGAGAATACACAGTCCCTTATAATTCCTAAGAAAGTTTTGGGGGGGAAAAAGTTAAATCTGTGGAAATGCATAGCACAGGTCTGCCCTTTGTTCCTGTGCCCTGTTTTTAGAGTGCATCTTTATTTTTATGAGTCGGGCAGATCCTTCAAATACTTTTGAGTGTGAGTCTCATGGAAGCAAATGGCTTTTGCACTAGGTAACATCTTTAAAATGACACATTCATCGTCTCATCTGCACAAGGCTAAAAGGGCTCAGCCCACATAAACTTGACACTTCCCTGTCAGTCAGCCAAATGATGACTTTGCACGCATATAGGCTTCTGGTCTCCAAAGGGAGCAATTAATGCAATGCACCCGCCTCTCCAAATGCGACAAGACTGCTTGTTCCCAGGGGCTGCAGGCAGTGAAACATTCAATTGCTTTTATTTGCTGTAATAGGAATTAAACTTGCAAAGTCACTTCCCAACCCAAATAAACACAAGAGGACTTGGTTTCACAGGACAAAACGGCTGATCCAGTTCTAAGCAGAAACCAAGCAGCCTGTGTTGTCAAACACTGTCACTAACTAGGGTTTACCAGAACTGGACTGCAAAATGGGAACAGCCACTAGATGGTGGCAAAGACTTATGAGGTTTTTTTGTGTGTCTATGCTGCCATTTAGTGGCCATCCAGAGTTTTACACCACAAGTTTGGTGCACTAAAGACCACGCAGCTTCTCCTGTCGGGCTTGGCCAAAATTCTTACCTGTTAACTTGTTTTATTTATTCTTAATTTGCCCATTGAGAAATGACAACTGTTATCTCGGACTTTTGTGAACCTTATTCTCAAGTAAGTGTGTTCAGCAATGCAGTCTTTACTCTTTTCAGTCCTTTACATATGAAAAGAGAGAAATTCAGCATTTTTCAGTCTTTTGTTTCACTTACAAGCATGATGATATCAGATAATTCTTGGTGAATATTCTGCATGTGTGTCCACACTGAGGAAGTATCCCTCAAAAGAGGCTGAATGGGTATTTCTTTGCTGCCCTTGGGGAATCTGTAAAAAAAAAAAAAAATCCTTACTAAGCTGTCATCTTCTCCCATCCTCCAAATCATGTC